CCATTGATAGCAAAACTGATGACTATTTTAATACTGTTGTCATTAAAAACTATTTGATTATGCAATTAATGCGAGCGTTGTATGAATTGAATTGGTTTTTGAAATGATATTTACTTTTTTGTAATCACATTTTAATGGTATAATTGACTACAGTACACATACCATACCGTATGTGTACACACAATACACATGAAACTCCCGTCGCATTTGAATATTTATTTAAATTAGACTTTTATTTATACGCTTTTTATTAGTTTTTGTGTTGCGTTTTGATTTATGCCATAAATGATTGTTTAATAATTATTATTTGCTTTTGGTTTTTGAATTTTACTTTATTTTTTGCCCACTTTTAGCCATTTGAATGACTGAATAGCGAAAAGGCTTTTGAATAGAGTTTTGCGTTTGTTTTTCGGCGAAGATTTTTGTTGTTGAAAAGGCTTTTATTTTTCATTCATCTCAACTCAAATCAATGCTTAGTTTGGAGTTTTGTTTTTGTAGTGAAATTTATTTATTTTCAAAAATGTATTTTTTTTATTATTTATTTTTATTTAGTCTATAATTTAAACGTCTATTTTATTTCTTGCTTTTTAGACTTCAAACCCGTTTCTGTGTGTATACATACGGTGTGTATAGATATATATGCCGTGTGTGTGTATTGTATACGGTAAGAGGAATGGGATGTAATGTGTGTGATGTGTGTGTCAGCACTTCAAACACCGTTTTCTGCATTGAAAAGCACTTTATTTTTGTTATTAGTTTTGAGTTTTATTTTTCATAAACTCTATTATAATATGGGCTTAAGATGTGATTTTATTTTTCATATTTTCAAATATTTTTATTTCTCTTTTTTGACTATAATTTTCTGAAACGCAAACTCTCTATCTAAGACCTCTCTCTCACTCTCTCTCTCTCTCTCCCGCACTCACTGTCTCTCAAACATCACATTTCAATTGCCATACGTTTTCTCTCTCACAAACTGTTCGCTCAGTTTTAAGAAAAACTTTTTTTCTTATTTTATTTTTACATAACAAATACAATACTCTTATACACCGCGAGTGTTGTGAACGTAGAAAAAACTTTTTTCTCTCTTATTTTTATCGGACTTTTATTTTTTAGACCTCAAAGACTTGTTTCTATGCTTTTGACTCTATTTTATTATTTTTCTCTCTCACAGCCTATTCTTCGCTCACTATTTATATTTCGATTGGATTTTGTTTTTCATTCAATAGTCACTACTCATAGCTGTCGTAGGCTTTATTTTTTGCTCTTTTCCCGGCTCCCTATCCCTCCCGTTCCCCTCTCTCTATGCCGGTGTATACACACACACTATCTGTCATTCATTGATTTTAATTTCTTAGTGTGTTTCGTGTGTTACTACTGTTAGACCTGTTTTTTGCTCTCATTTTATTTGCTTTTTTATTGTACTTTTATTTTTTGATTCATTTCGACTGAAAGCTATAGTTTTCAGCGCTTTTCAATCGATTTTATATTTTATTTTTTGCTGCTTTTTCTCCGAAACCTTTGCATATTTTTTTTGTTATTACTTCCCATATATTTATATTCAAATTCTCGTATTATTAGCGGTGACAAGTGCTCTGTGAACTGTATGTGCTCAGCACCGGCTATATATGCCTATTTTGTTGTACAGATTCTGTACGGCTATATACACATACGCCTACCAGTGCTTAAAATGTGTTGATTGAAAGTTTCTCTTGTTTTTTGTGCTAATTTTTACCGATTTTTTTGATTGCTTTTTCTCATTGTATTGTGTTTTTCTATGCTTTCATTTAACGGCAATTACTTTTTGATTGATTTGTTTCAAGTGTTTCTAATAAACATGTTTTGTATGTCTCATACAGACAGCGCTCATCATAGCGAAGATCGCCTGTTGGACCACTAGTGAGCCCATAGAGGGCTCGGATCTCAACCTATTCCTCACATGGCTTAGGGATCAGTTGAAAGTCTCGGTTTGTATTGCCATTATTAGTGAGGGTTTTCCTGTTGAATGCAATGATGACCCACCTATTGATACCTGAGCTGAACGCTGAGGGCTATCACTAGAACTGATTTAATGAGTCTGAGCTGCCATTCGTTGCATTCATTGCCATATGATTTGATTTCGTAATAAATTAATAGTGAATTAATTATTGAATTGACGCGTGTTTTCAGGGCAATGAATACCTGCAGTCGATCGCCCGGTGCCTGCAGATGATGCTCCAGAATGATCGCTATCGGGATGTGTTTGTGGGCATCGATGGCATCAATACGATAGTACACGTGCTGTCCGGACGCGTCAACTTTCAGATCCAATACCAGCTGTGTTTCTGTCTGTGGATACTGACGTTCAACGAGCCGTTGGCCACCAAAATGAACAAATACAACGCCATACCAGTGCTCGCAGACATACTGTCCGAAGCGGTCAAGGAGAAGGTCACCCGCATGACTTTGGCCACGTTCAGGGTATGGCTGTCCACTTTGAATGCAGTTCCCATTTGTTTGTTTTAAATTGAGATTTAGTTTTTTTTAATAAATCGGTGTTTTTCGAGACATTTGTCTCGATGCATGTATTTCTCTGTTGAATACACGGCTTTCCTATGCTATGATGACTACCCTATCATACCTGACCTAAACGTGAAGGCTATGAGAACTGATTTAATGAGTCTGAGCTCTTGATTGTGTTTTAATTATTTGTTTTTTATCTTTTTGTCTTTTTCTGATGTTTTGTTTGTTTTTTGAACAGAATTTGATCGAAAAGCCGACCGACGCTGAGATTATACGCGATAACGCTATTACAATGGTTCAGTGCAAGGTATGTGCGCGCACCCGGTGCTCACCCTATCATTACCACTCATTAAAAAGCAATTAAATTGAGATTTGTATTTAAATTCTGTATATGTAAAGAGTTTTTATAGTTTAGCTATAGTTTCATATGTGCCACGAATTAAGTGTATATTTTTAGGTGAATTATTGTATTTTAAACAAAATTATCGATTATTTTATTGATTAATACAATGAATGCAATGATGACTATATACTCATACCTGAGCTGAACGCTGAGGGCTATTGAGAACTGATTTAATGAGTCTGAGCTGCCGGTGAATATATTGATTGTCTGAATGTTTTGATTATTTCGCGAAATTAATTGATAATTAATGTGTGTTTTTCATTGTATTTACGAATAGGTGTTAAAACAATTAGAAATATTACAACAATCGGGTCAGAAGTTTGACGACGTGGACATCAAAGAGGACATCGACTTCCTGACTGAGAAACTCCTGGCGTCCGTACAGGACTTGTCCTCGTTTGACGAGTACGCCACGGAAGTGAAGTCCGGGCGCCTGGAGTGGTCGCCCGTCCACTCGAGCGACAAGTTTTGGCGAGAAAACGCCAGTCGTCTCAATGAGAAGAACTACGAGTTGTTGAAAATACTGGTTCGACTCCTGGAGACCAGTAAGGATCCACTGGTGCTGTCCGTGGCCTCCCATGACTTGGGAGAGTACGTCCGACACTACGGCAGAGGCAAAGTGTAGGTGTTTTTGGGGGTTTAATTGTTTTGTTTGTGGTTTTCGTGCATTTGGTATGATTTGTAGTTTAATTATAGATTTGGTGTGAATTTGTAATATATTTGTGTTGTTTGGATGCAATGATGACATCATTTAGAACCTGATGTTTCATATCTGAAGGTTTTCTCGACTGATTTAATGAGTCTGAGCTGTGAAGCGCCGTTAGATTTTTGATTAATGTTTTGTTTTTACGCCAAATTGACGATTAATTATCACTTTTTATGTGTTTTGAATGTAGTGTTACGGAAAACTTGGGCGGAAAGCACTTAGTTATGCAGCTCCTGACCCACGAGGACCCGAACGTGAGATATGAGGCGCTCCTATGCGTACAGAAGCTTATGGTCCAGAAATGGTACGTATATTTGGTGTGGATTTTATTGTAGTTTTGTATTTAAATTTGTTTTGTTGATTGATTTTGTAGGGAATATCTGGGGAAACAACTCGAGAAAGACACCGGACGTACGAAAGAGGTTATGAGGTCTTAGAGCCCGTTCCCCGCACTGTTTTAGACCTTCCCCTCATCTACTGTTCATTGTTTTCTGAGATTTATGAATTGTTTTTTGTTTTTGAGTATTAATTGTGAATATAATTGTATTCATGATTTGATTTCTTAGTTTTATTTTGTTTATTATTTACAACGAAAGTCGAGATAAGAGTTATAACTAATAATTAAAAATGAATTATTTATTACATAATCGAGAGAAATGTGTTAATAATATGGTGTATAATGTGATGAAATTGATTCCACATATAATAAGGTAAATATTTGCCAATAATTATATTTAATTGGATTTTTAGTGAAATTTATTTTATATTTCATTATTTACATATTGTTTATGAGATATATTTTGCTCATTTATTGAGTTATTGTTACAAATATACTGTATGTATAACTATATATAGATTCCTAGTCTAGAATTATATATATATATAATATAAATAATTAATTAAATATTGTTTAAATCTGATTTTTAAACTTACAATAAAATGAATTATAATTGAAAAGTATTTTCATAGAAATCCTTTGTTAATATGCCCTTTAAATTACCTGGTACAGTAGTTTGTACAATATTGCTTTATTTCGCAATATTCATGTAATAATAGCTTTATGCAGGGTATTTTATATAACACTTAATAATTGCCCTAAAAGTATTTTTGTTATAAGAATTATCATATTTTTAATCATATGTTGAGTAGATTTTTCTCAACAAATGAAAAGTGTGTTTGTCTTAATAGTCTGTGCGTTAAATCCAAGGCCTGAAAATTGGTGGACAAAAATCAAATACATATTTATTAGGCGTGCGATTAGAAATCGTTTCAGGAATTTCTGTTTATTGTGTTAATCATAACTTATTTATACTCAACTCACCCTTAAACTGGAAATACACGTAAAAACAGATTAAACTGGAGATTTGAAATTCAAAATTGATTTGTCCTTCAACGTTTTATAACAAATATTAATTTGTACACAATTTATTTATACCATTTTTGAAGTTATTATTAGGTTTCCAGTGTATAAAACTTAAGATTTATATAACTATTTCATTTAGTCTTACGGTTATATAAGTTGCGCTCACAATAGCTTACTGTCTAATGCCTGTCAAACATGTTTCAAACAGTGATCACTGTATTGTTCACAACTACTATAGTGTACATAACGTACAGAATATTCCGATTCTATGAGCGCCGTAAGCGCTACCCTAAAGGACCCATACCTTTGCCATTGATTGGAAATATTTTGCGTTAGTATTTAAATATTGTATTAACATTACATAATTAATGTATGCGTGGGTCGGGTAGTATTTAGAGGCCATAAAACACATCCACTGGAAAGTCTGCTATCGGTTCGGGCACAGTATGGACCCGTCTATACATTTTACATGGGGAACGACCCCTTCGTATTCATACACGACGTGAAAATAGCCAAACAGTTGTTCAGTCGGACGGCCTTCTGCGGTCGACAGTCCACTCTAATCGGTAACTCATGTCATGAAAAGTATTTAAACTTTTTGAAACTAATTATTGTTTTTTGGTGACAATCATAAGGCAAACAAATTTGCAGCGACGGCGGCAGTGATATCATATTCACCGACTATGGCCAGGGATGGCAGTCGCTGTCAAACGTGTTCAAACTGGCCGTCCGTAAGTATTGGACGAGCAATCATATGAACGGCACCGTTAGGCAAGTGGTGGACACCGCCGTACGCGAGATGATCGCCGAGGAGGGGGTCGGCCGACCCTTTGATCCCAAAGATCGCATTGAAGTCGCCTTTTATTGTGTGGTTATGTCCATAGCTTTTGGGCGAATGTGAGTCAAAAAAGTAGTTAAAAAGTGTTAATAATTAAAAATATTTGTCTAAAAAAGTTAATATAATTGTAACCTGGTGTCTTATTAATTTGAAAATTTACTTTTCTATAAGTTTCACATCAAAAGACCCGGAGTATAGACGCCTACACGACATAACGAACGTATTCTTCCAATTGGGCGATAAGTTGGCGCTCATTGAGTTCGTGCCCATACTTCGTGTGCCGTTATTTCAATACGTGAACCGATTTCGACAAAA